AAGCAGCTGATCAATGATTCTCTCTCATCATAAATGTTTCTATCTCTCTCCCCCTCTCCCTTCCTCTCTGAAATCAATAAAAAATATATTTTAAAAAAATACTAGTTGGATGTGTGAATGTCTGCCTCACTGCAGTAGATAAAGGTAGGACCTGATGGCCCCTAGCTAAAGCCAGCTTGCCAAAGGTTGTGTTTCCCCTTCCCTTCTCTCCCCCCCTCTTCCCTTTTCTACTTTCCCTCCTCTTCCCTTCTCTTCCCTCCCTTCCTTTGCCTTCCTTTCTACTCTTGAACAACTGGAAAATTCAGCCCTGGCCCATGTGTCTAGTGGTTAGAGCGTCAGCCTGCACTTCGAAGGGTCAGGTTGGCTGCCTGGTCAAGGACACATGCTTGGGTTGCAGGTTCCACACTTCAGCAAGCAGCCAACCAATGTTTCTCACATTGATGTCCCCCCTTCTATTTCCCTCCCTTCCTTCCACTCTCTGTAAAAATAATGCAAAAAATATCCTGGATGAGGATTAACAAAAAAACAAAACAAAACAAAAAAAGCATTATGTGGGTCCCAGAAGAAGAGAGAGAGCAAGATACCAAAAACATACTGAAAGAAATAGTGACAGAAAACTTCCCCCACCTGGTGACAGAATTAGACTTACAAGTCCAAGAAGCGCACAGAACCCCAAACAAAAGGAATCCAAAGAGGACCACACCAGGACACATCATAATTAAAATTTCAAGAGCAAAAGACAAAGAGAATATTAAAAGCAGCAAGAGCAAAGCAGGTAGTTACTATAAAGGAGCACCTATACGATTGTCAGCTGATTTCTCAACAGAAACCATGCAGGCCAGAAGGGAATGGCAAGAAATATTCAAGGTGATGAATAGAAACAACCTACAGCCAAAAATACTCTATCTAGCCGAAGCCGGTTTGGCTCAGCGGTGGAGCGTCGGTCTGAGGACTGAAGGGTCCCGGGTTCGATTCCGGTCGGGGGCATGTACCTGGGTTGTGGGCACATCCCCAGTGGGAGGTGTGCAGGAGGCAGCTGGTCGATGTTTCTCTCTCATCGACATTTCTAGCTCTCTATCTCTCTCCCTTCCTCTCTGTGAAAAATCAATAAAAAAATATATTTAAAAAAATACTCTATCCAGCAAAGCTATCACTCAGAATCGAAGGCCAAGTAAAGAGCTTCACTAATAATAAAAAAAAAAAAGCTAAAGGAGTTCATCACCGCCAAACCAGAATTATGTGAATTGCTGAAGGGGGTTCTTTAGGAAGAGGAAGAAAATAAAGATAAAAATTATGAACAACAAATACGTAACTATCAACAAGTGAATCTAAAAACCAAGGGAATTAAAAAAAATCTGATGAACAATGTTAACTGGTGAATATGATAGAAGCAGAGGTATGGAAGGGGAGTGAACTGACGATTCTCTGGGAAAAGGAGAGTGGGGGATATGGGAAGAGACTGAACATAAACTGTGCACCTATGGATGAGGACAATGGGGGGTGGGGAAAGGGCAGAGGAAGGGGTGGGAACCTGGTGGAGGGGAGCAATGGAGGGGGGAAAAAATGAGGAACATTTGTAATAATATGAACAATAAAGTTTTATTTAAAAAAACAAAAAACAAAACAAACAAATAAACAAACAAAAACCAAGTTTCAACCCCAAACCCCCTAGCGGGGTCCCAGCAAGGTAAGCACCAGCAGTGGAGGTGGGGGGAGAGATACATGCTGGCCCACAGAGGGGAGTCAGAGCCCAAATGGGATCCAAATGGGGGAGGAGCATGGTGCAGGGGTCCTAGGCTGAGTGGTCAGGCTCACAGAGTGAGGATGGCAACCTCAGGGACAGGCAGCCCGGGTGGGGTCAGAGCCTGAGTGGGTGTGAGGGCGTCTTGTTGGATGACAAACGGCGGGGGGGGGGGGGGGGGAAGGTTGATCACGAATGAATGAGCAGATTAATCAGTGGGAATGCCAGGCTCCCCAAGGCCAGGCCAGTGGAGGGGGTATTGTTATGGAAAGGGAGAAAGGCTAGCATGAACCCTGTGCTTGGACTGGAGTTGGGTCTGTGGGGTGAACTTGGTTTCCATGCAGGTAGGTGACTATGGAAGCAGATTCCACATGGAGGTGTAAGTGTGCGCCGTGTGTGCTCACACGTGTGATCCTGCCCACTGAGAGGGTCTAGGCAGTGACACCCAATGGTAAGAAGCACATAAAATACACATTGTGTCAGCAACTTAGGCCTGAATGGATCAGGAAGAAAAAGTTCTTTGCATTGTCCTCATAATTTCTCTGTAAATTTGAGATTGTGTCAAAAGGAAATAAGTGTTTTGTGTGGCTTACTTAGTATTGTTTCTTTTTTTTTTAAATTTGAATTAATTGCCAACATCTAAAAATCATGCGACTTTACCCTCAAATCTAGGTTTCTTCTGTGTCCCGAGAAGTCTGAAATGCTCACAACTCTGAGTCATGAATGGCCAAGTGAACAGCTACGGTGCCCTGTATTTATTTGTGTTTGTTTTTTCCTGTTTTTATTTATTTCAAAGAGAGGAAGGGAGAAGGAGAGAGAGAAACATTAATGAAAACAGAGAATCATTGATTGGCTGCCTCCTGCAAGCCCCCCGATAGTCCGAAACCTGGCATGTGCCCAGACTGGGAATTGAACTGTGACCTCCTAGTTCATGGGTTGGTGCTCAACCACTGAGCCACACCGGCCAGGCCACAGTGCCCTTCAGATATGCCATGTGATCCCCAGTACTCCTCGATTCCCACCACTCCTCACTGTGTAACCCCAGCTCACAGCATCCATTCATTCTACCAGCTTCACCCCTGGTCCCAGTTCAATCCCTGTCCTAAACCATGGGAAAGCCATAATGGACACATTTCAAAGGCACTTCATTAACCCAGAGCAATGACCTATCTCAGAATATCAAATTATGCTCTGTGACGTGGGAATTCTTCTAGGCCTGAGTTTCTTCAGTCAGTCCTGTGTGGCGGGGACGGGTGTTGAGCAATCGGGGTGTTGCCTGGTGCAGGAGGCCCGTGTGGGCCGGGATCCTGGAGCTGATGGGGTGTCTGAATGGCGGGCGCGTCTGCCCCCCCCCCCCCCCCCGGTCGGGTGGGGGAGGCTGAGATGGTATCGCAGGTGCCTGAGGGGGCGAGCGGGTGTGGTGGGAACGAGCCGGTGATGACCTGGCCTGGCCTGTCGGTGAGAAGCTGCTTGATGAGGCGCGTCAGTCAGCGCTGGGTTTGAGCAGGAGGAGGTGACAGCGTTGTCTCCCCCAATCCTCCCCTCCTCACTGGACTGGCTCAGTCCTCGGTTTGGAAAACTTCTCTCATCTGCCTCTTGAAAGATTACATTGAAAATCTATAATAATAAAAGGGTAATATGCTAAGTAGACCGGATGTCCTTCCTGATGATCTTCCAGACAGAAGCCTGGGTCCCAGGTGCCAGAGGGAAGCTGGGGCAGCACTCGGGGGAAGGAAGGCCTATTCCTGCACCGAGGAATTTCGTGCACTGAGCCTCTAATATCTAATAAGGTTTGGCCGTGAGTTTTCCGGCATTTCTCATTGCCCTCAGGATAAATCCAAGCCTTAACCCCTGCTGAGTCCAGCACACCCAGCCCCTGCTCCTCAGGCTGGCTCAGCTGTCCCCCCTGGGCCCCTGGCTGCGAGCACCACCAAGCTCTTCTCGACCTTAAGTTCTGCACAGGCTCCAGCCACTGGCTGCCTCCCACTCAGGTCTCAGTGAAATGCAGTCACCTCCTCAAAGGCTCTTTCTGCCCCAAACCCCACATCCTGTCTCAGCCGTGCCCTGCTCATCCACTGTCACTTCACTGTTCTACTTCTTCATTTACACTGGTTGGTGTCCGCCATTGTCTCTCCACCTAGGCAGGCAGCTCCATGTGAGCAGGGACGCTGCGTCCCCGCTGCAGCGTCCCCGCTGCAGCGTCCCCGCTGCAGCGTCCCCGCTGCAGCGATGGCTGTTGACCCGGGAGCGATGCAAAGCTCTTAGCAGCCAGGTGCGGGTGGGTTGCTGGAGGGGTTGGGCATGGGGTTAGGACACAAGCCCTTGGGTGGGTGTGGCTGAGTGCATGGTGCTCCTTGCATCCTGGGAGGTTGGAGTTGGGGTAGGTTTGGGGACACCGGTGCCTGCCGGTGGTGTTGCGCTGGATCACACACTAGGCTGTGGAGGTCAGATGGACCCAGAGTCAGGACTCAGGGATCGTGGTTGGGCACGGCTCTGTGGCCTGGGACCGGAGCTAGGCGGTGGTGGTGGTGGATCCTTTTCAGAGAAGCTCCGTTTCCCCGCGGGTTGTAGCTAATATAAAGTGTCCAGACATCCCGATGTTTAACAATTTGGGACTTTTTTAAAACGCCGCGGGACAAATTGTTTAAAAATCGGGACTGTCCCGCCCAAAGCGGGACGCCTGGTCACCTTAAAAAAGAATGTGACCCCATGAGCCCTACAGGCCCTCGGCTGTAGGGCAGGCTGTGCGGGACCCCAGGGTGCGGCTGGGTCGGCGGTAGCCGGGGTGCTGTGGGCGGAGAGTGATCCAGCCGCGGGACCCAGCCCCGGGGGCGGAGGGGACACGCCTGGAGGAGCACCAGCTCACCTGGCGTACCTGGCCCCACCGGTTCGCGCGCTTCCGCGCGGGGGCTGGCCGGTCCCGCCCCCCGGCCAATGGGAGCTCGGAGGCCCGCTGAGGCGGGCGCCCATTGGGCAGGCGGGCGCGGCGGCCGGCGCGGATTGGGCGCGGGCGGCCGGGGCGGGGCGGCGCGGCGGGCACCTTAGTCCCCCGCCGGCGGGCGGCGCTCGGCGCTCGGCTCCGCGGGCGGCGCGGCGGGCGGAAGTGGCGACGCTGGCGTCCCAGGAGGCGGCGGCGGGCGGCAGTGACGGCCCCGGCGCCGGCGGCAGTGACGGCCCCGGCGCGGACGGCGGCGGCCGGGGGGGCGGCGTGGACGCCCGCGGCGCCGGCTGGGGCATCACCGCCGGCCTCGACCCCGAAATGGCGCTGCTGGCCGAGCACCTGCTGAAGCCGCTGCCCGCGGACAAGCAGATCGAGACCGGGCCCTTCCTGGAGGCGGTGTCCCACCTGCCGCCCTTCTTCGGTGAGTCCTCCTCCTCCGAGGATCCCCACCGCCCTGCCGGGTCCTGATCCCGGGCCCGGGACCCCTTTCTCCACGCGCCCCATGCGCCCTGTCCGGCCGCTCACCTTCTCCCCCTCATGCCGCACCCTCCCCGCTCTCCCCGGGGTCCCCAACCCTCCATCTTCCCCCCACACTCCCGTCTCTCCCGGACACCTCACAGTCCGCCGTACCCACCGGGGGACCCCGTGCTCCACTTCCCCAAACATCCTTTTCTCCAGACCCCGATTCCGCAGCCCTCCATCTCCGGGGAGCCTCCCACCGCTTCTCCCTCACATTCCTCTACCCCCTCCCCGTCATTCCCTCCCTTTTAGAATGCTGTCCCCTCCCTCCCTTTTCCTTAACTTCTCCCAGCCTCTCCCGCGGGGACCTGTGAACCCTCATCCCTCAGCTTGCCCCCATTCAAGACCCCCACCCCTCTTCCCCCTCTCCTCTCCCCCCTCCCCCTTCCTCCCACTACACACACACACACACACACACACACACACACACACACTCCAAGCAGGAGGCTGGGCAGGGTGAGGAGGGCGTTTTGAAAACGTGTCACAAAACTGGAAGCCCCCTTTCCAGGGGAACCACCTGAAGTTTTTTCTCATTCAGAACAGAGGTCGGGACTGGGGGTGGGGCTGCCTGTGGGGTGAAGTCAGACCCTGGGCGCCCGGTGGGCTGTAAAAGAGACCCCTCCCCCAGCTGTCCACCCAGGAAGGTCTCAGCGGCCAGAAGGCAGTCCCTCAGCCAGGGCCGGCTCCCTCCTCCTCCCGCAGCCCAGCCCAGGCCTGGATGGAAAATGGGAAACAGAAGACAGAGCTGTGCCCTGCGCTTTGCGGTCAGGTCCTGGCACAGGGCGTAACCCGAGCGCTGCCTTCTTCCCCGTGTGGACCTGCCCTGTGCCCTGACCTGGGAGGTCACTTGGTGGCCTGGCAGGAGGACACCAGTGCCCAAGGCAGAGTCCACTGAACCCGACAACCGACAGAGCCTTAGCACTGAGACTGCGGAGATTTGGCTCCGGGTGGGGACCAGGGCTCCCTGGGGGCGGTAGTTCCCACAGTGGGGTGAGCTCTGGGGTGGTTGTGGTTGCCTGGAGTTGTGTCCTTCACCTCCGGGGCCTCAGTGTCCCCGTCTGTGAAATGGGGGTGCTGACAGTAGATGAAATGGTATATGTAAGTCATGTGGCCTTGATGCCCAGGAGATCTTAGCTGGGTGGGTGGGGTGTTATTATTTAAGTTCCTGGATCCAGTTTTGGTTCCTTTATATAGTAAGGAGGTGATTGATCAATGTTTGAACCAGGCTAATGGCCCGGTTTGTGTGGTCCCCAGACCCGTGCCCATCGCTGCCTCCCCCTGTCAGGGCCGTGCCTGGCACACAGTGGTGCTCAGTTGGAACTTGCTCTCTTCCTGTCAGCACCCAGGGCTGCCGGAGCCCCGAGTCTCCTGGCCGAGGTTCGGGAGGTAACTTAGTTCTCGGGAAGGCCCCCCACCTGGTTCTGTGGACATTCGCAGGCAGCAGCCGCCCGGACAGGACCCAGCACCCGCTGACGCTCGTGGTTCCCGCCTGCTCCGGCCCCGGTGGTGGCTGTGCCGGGGGAGCACCTGAGGCCTTTCCCCCCTTCCCTCTGCGAGGCTGCCCCTCAGTGTGCACGCGGGCTGGTTCCAGAGGGAAGGGGCGGGTGGTGGCAGTCTGAGCCAGCAGGGAGCGGATGCCAGGCCTGAAGAGCACCCCCCACTCCCCGGTCTCAAAGGACCCTTGTCTGGGCTGCGAGTCACGTGCCGTGCGTCCCGCCCGCGGACAGAAGCGCCATTTACACGGAAGCCGGGGGCCGGCCTCGGAGAATGCTCAGCATCCAAAGGGTGCGGTCCGCTGTGAGCCCTCGCTCCTGAGGTTCAAGTTGGAGAGGGGCTCCCACCGTGGCCTTTCTCTAGGCTCCGGGGTCGAGGCAGACCGCAGTCGGTTCTGACTCAGGGGCTTTGTCTGGACCGTGGGAGCGTCTGGTCCCCGGGCGGTCTGGGTGGCGGGGAGTCTCCGGACGGAGGCGGTCTGGGGGGGATGGACGCTAGCAGGCAGGAAGCCATGGCCGTGGCCGCCCCCTCCCAGCCGGGGTGTCTGTGAGGCGCTGCTGACCTCGGGGCTGTGATGGGGCTCCTGGCTTTGTAAGGTGTTAGCAGCCGCCCTGACCTCGGCTACTCGGTGCCGGTAGTAACCTCTACCTGAGTCTTGACAACCAACAATACCTGTGAGGAGCCAGAATCGCCCCTGGGTGAGAGCCATTGCTCTCGATATCGCTATAGCGTTGGGCTGAAAGCTGTGTTTCTAAAAAAAAGTATCTAATTTTGCAAGGGAGATCGGTTTCTCGAAGGAAAATTGAGCCAGCAGAAATGGTCAGCGGGACGCGCCCTGTCTTTTATTGAGCACCTACTGTGTGCTCAGCATCCGGGCGGCCTTGTGAGGAGGGCCTTTTAAGGAGAGAATCTCTGCCGACATTTCAGAGTGTTTGGTTTCCCCCCAGTCCCATTGTTCGTCGATCTCCCGGGGAGAATGCACCAGCTGCTTCTCCACTAAACCACAGCGTGGCCGTCTTTCCACGTCAGTCATCTCTTTCATAGCGGCCGAGCGTTCCCTGCTCTGACTGTGGCCACAGTTCATCCCACCAGCCCCCTGCTGGTGGAATCATTTCTAATTTTCAGAAGTGAAGGCCCCAGAGCAGCCATATTTCTTAAGCTCTGCGGGTGCAGCCGGTGACGGGGTTGGTGGGGCGGATGCCGGTCTTCTGGGCACAGGTCAGAGTGACTAGAGCATCCCAGGCCAGCCTTCCTCCTTATCTCCAGGCTGAATCGCTCCAGCCAGTTTGTCCATCTTTCTCCTCCTTGACCCCGTAATTGGATCTCATCGCGGACGATCAGCTTGCACCTGACTTCCGTGAGGCCTGCTCGCTCCTCTTTTAGGTCAGTTTCCCAGCTGTTCCAGGGCATTGCCCATCGGCGGGCGGAGGAAGGGGAGAGAGGAAGTGAGAGACTTAGATGCCATTTAGTCTTGCTACCCTCTGGCTAGAAGCCTCAATGGCTCCCTATTGCCCCGACTTGAAACCTGTGTTGCAGCCATTCCCCACCAATGGTCAAGGCCATCCGTTGATGGAGCCTGGCGCACCGCATCTCCAGCCCGCTGCCTGCGTTTGCCTGGCTGGGTCCCCTCATCCTTCAGCCGTCAGCTGGGGGCCCTCCCCCAGGAAGCCTTCCCGAAGCCCAGCCTCCCATGCGCTGTCACGTGCAGAGAGTTGGAGCTATTTCAGTGCCTGGTTTCCGAGCAAAGGCCTTTGGTTCTACTTCCATTTTTTTCTGGGTTCTTCCTAAAAGTGTTTTGCTTTTCCCTTTCTAAGTGATAATACGTGACCAAATTATAATACATCATTCATAGCCTAGACCTATGGCAGACATTATTAATCAATCACAGTACAGTTTTCCCCTTCAAGTCCAGATACAGATTTCTTACTTTCTTTTTTTTTTTCTTCTTTTTTTTTTTATAGTATGTTTCTTTATTAATTTCAGAGAGGAAGGGAAAAAGACAGAAACACAGAAATACAGAAACATCATTGATGAGAGAGGATCATTGATCGTCTGCCTCCTGCACACCCCCAGCTGGGGATCAAGCCCGCAACCCAGGCATGTGCCCCTGGCTGGAATCGAACCTGGGACCCCTCAGTCACAGGCTAATGCTCTATCCACTGAGCCAAGCCGGCTAGGGCTTTTCTTTTCTTTTTTAAAATATATATTTTATTGATTTCAGAGAGGAAGGGAGAGGGAGAGAGAGATAGAAACATCAATGATGAAAGAGAATTAATGATCGTTTTCCTCCTACACGTCCCCCCCCCTCCCCCCCCCCCCCACGGGGGATTGAGCCATGACCTGGCATGTGCCCTGACCAAGAATCAAATCGTGACCTGGTTCATAGGCCGTTAGAGTTGATGCATGCGAGGACACCTGTTAGCTCCCACTGTCCACGGAGAAACCGGAGATGCAGGAGCTGAAGGTGATGTGTTTGACCTCTCAGTTTTTGAGATCGGAATTGCAGGAGCGTTTTTCTTCATCCAGGCCTCTTGGCTTAATTAAATGGATGCCCACTGAATTGGTCGGTCCAGGTATCTGGCAATCAATTAGTCCCAGAAGAATCCCCAAAAGAATGGTTTCCATCTCTTTGGCTCAGTGCTTGCTCTGTTTAGGGGGACCAATGGCAGCCCAAAAGCACACCATCATCTTACCTTACAGTCAGGAAACGGAGGCCAGAGAGGTTAGGGGACTTGCCCAGGGTCACACAGCTGTGAGCGACCGGAGCCAGACCAGACTCCCGGCCTCTGGACTCCTTGTGAGTGCTGTGCCCTGTGCTTGCCTGCTGCCCTGACTTCCGTCTGGCAGAGGAGGAGACCCCGTGGAGCCAGCCAGCGTGGTGACTGAACACTTGTCACCACTGTGACGTGTCCAACATGCTGGGAGCACAGACCAGACATGCAGGTTTCCTGAGGCGTGTGCTTCATAATTGGCCTGGGAGCTGGCCCCTCTCCTGCTGATGGGAATTCCGATGGGAGTACCTGGGTGTGGAATCATCGGTGCGTGGGCTGAACGGACCACATTTCCTTTAATTGGCACATTGCGTTAGCCCCTGGGAACCACCCAGCCACCCTTGTCTGTGGGTAAGAAGTTCCCCCTGCCTGCCCTGGCCGGTTTATGGATAGTGCGCCGCCCCATGTCCTGAAGGGTCCTAGGTTCGATTCCAGTCAAGTACATACCTCGGTGGCAGGCTCCATCTCAACTCTGGTTAGGGTGTGTGCGGGCGGCAACCAATGGATGTGTCTCTCTCCCATCGATGCTTCTCTCTCTCTGCCTCTCCTTCTCCCTTCTACTCCCTCTGAAATAATCAATGGGAACATATCCCTGGGTGAGGATTAACAAAAGAAAAGGAAGATGTTCCCAAGCTCC